TACCTAGTTGCAAGCCATTTTAATCTAGTTTTATGCTTAACAATGATAAGATTAAACAATTGTTTTAAAAAGTTAGGTTTTAAAATTATTACTAAATTTTAAAATACAGATGGTTAGTTGAACAAATGGTTTCAGTTCAAGGTACGACTTTATAATAGGATTTTACTTTATGGCACAAACAGGGTATTGAAAAGCGAATGGTTAATTTTAAAGGTATGATTTAAATTTCAAAAAAATTATGGATTACATGGAGAAAGCGGTAATGGTTTGGGGTAAAAAAATAATATATATGTAACAGGAATAATGAGTTATTTACCCCGAGTTTAATTGTATTATTTATAGTGTTTATTTCTTCATTATTTTATGTTAAACTTAATTGTTTGGAAGAAATTTTGAAGTTTTGATTTCAATTATTATTCATTAAATATAAAAAAAACTGATGGGTTTAGATGTAACAAGGAAGTTCAAGATCAGAGGGTCACTTCAGTCTTGTGATATAGAGAGTGGTATTTCGTGGCAAATAATGTACTGTTGGTTGAACAATGCGAGTTGTTTTATTTCTACTTTTTGGAACTGTTACTTTGTCAAAAAAAACATGGATTGATATGCAGGAATAAAACTGGACTTCGGATGTAAAAGGACAAATAAGAAATGTGAAAGAACTTTATCACATTTCATCGTTATTTTCCCCCATGGGAAGTTGTCCAATCATTTTTTTCTAATGTGGTTATTTCTTGTAGAGTGTTTCATTGCTTACCAACACTCAAACACAGAACATTGTGCAAAGATTAATATATAAGTTGACTATAGAAGTTTTCTGAATTTGCAGGCATAACTGGTATGAAATCATCAGATAGTAAATGTAATAAAAAAAATGAATGTTGATACCCGGCAAAATAAGGAAATTTAATGTATGCTATTATCTAATTCAATGGGGTCTAGAGTGGTAATGTGGTTAGTGGTAAATTGTGTAAATGAAAATTTTGAAATTTGCTGTTCCCTAGATTCTCCCGGAGTTTAAACCCACTCATGGGAATTGTTCAGTTATTTGGACACATTCTTTGCTCACTCGCTAAATATTTGAATAAAGCCTGTAATACAATTTTGATGTGATATCTATGCAATAAAAAAGGCACAAATACCGTGACTTGGAACATACAAATATCCCGAACATAGTGAAAAGAATTATGATTTTACATTTCAGTCCGACTTGGACCTAACTGTTCACCTTACCTAATTGTCCAAGTCTCTGAAAAATATCACTGAGTTTTTCTCCTATGTACTGTTTGTTGATTTTTGGAGTGTGATATCTTCGCTTATCCACACCACTTACAAACAAATGAACATATTTTTTTGTTTGCAAAGATTACATAGTAGTAAGTGGAAGGCCTATACTGAAGTTATTACTGTATTAAGTATAGCTGAGGATCAGATAATGGTACTAAATATAGTGCAGTATATCGTATATGGTAATGAAATACAGTACTCCAATGGGACTGTTGTATAACCAGTGTCTTTTATTTATATTAAGAAGAAATTATTGTAAGGTGCTATTATATGTAATTACAAATGTGTCATAGCTTTTAATGTCTTAAGTTGGATAGAATTGTATAAAATTGAAAATTTTGAAATTTTCAATTCCCATAGATTCTCTGGAAGTTTTTAAAAAAGAAAAAATCATGAATTTTCAGTTACCTAATTGAACCTATATATATGTACACTCCCTAAAATATTTGAATTAAGGAGCAACTATGTAATAACAATTTAGAATATGTACTGTAGTTGTCTGGGATGTCATCAGTACAAAAAGGCAGCTGAAATTTTTTTTCCAAATCATTCATTAAAAATAACAGTATTATGTTTGGGTTATGTGCAGATGATATTCTCATAGTGTAAGTTAAGTAATTTTTGTATTTTGATCTAACTGCTGTGTAGTGCTGGTATTGTAGCTTTTTTGTAACATATAACTCACCCACCCTTAATCTGTGCCAAAGTTCTGTATGAATTATACTGAACACTGATTTTATATATTACTGAAAATATTCCAAATCTTGTTTTGTACCTGATCATTTTGGTATGTGACTAAGCACAAAATACATTTTGCTAAATTTATATGTATCAAGAAATGAGCTTTATCAAATGCAAAATGAATTTTTTTAAGTAATTAAAAATAAAGTCAGGTTTTTACTGTGTATTGCTAATAGCAGAGGAGACTGCACATGAATGAGACGTGTTTATTTTCTGGAGTACAGGAGTTCCTGACTTGCAGACTCTCTGCATTTACTAACAAGACCCACGAGATAATGTTTTAAATCCCTCTTTTGTTCTGATGAGGCTGCTCTTATTGCTTCCAGGCATCATAAGAACCAGCTATGAATGTGCATAATATGTAATTCTTCTTTGCTTTTGATTTTTATATAGGATCATTTCAGCACTATAAATAACTCATTTGTAAGTTAAAGCACCTAAAATGCATTTGATAAGTTGAAACACCTGGAATGTTACTTGTTTGTAAGCTGAAACACCAGCAACACAGCTCATTTATAGGTTGAAACACCCTGTATGCAAATCATTTGTAAATTTAAACACCCGGAACACAACTCGTTTGTAAGTTGAAACGCCAGAAATGCAACTCGTTTGTAAGTCACGGACTCCTTGTATGGCAGAGCATGCACTAATGTTATTGTAAACTTACACACCTCAGTCAACCATATCAGAAAAAAGTTTTCTGTTTTGGAATTTCTGTACAAAGCTTGAGTTGGTACTGTAGTTGTAAATGCAGTATTAGTGGACAATTTTCATCACTATGTAATACGTCTTTTGTTTCTAGTCAAGTAAGACACTGTATCAGGTGAGCTACTGTATTTTCTGGCATATAAGGTGCACTTTTTTTTTTTTTCTCCACAAAAAGTCTTGGAAAATTACCCTGCACTTTAAATGCTCAAGGTCAGGTTCAAAGATAAAAAAGACAGATTTATTTCTTTGCAAAGGTTACAATTTTTTATTTGTTAGATACTAAGAAAGCCACTATCATGCTGGGGCATTTCGGGCAGACTGAAGTAGGCTTTGGGTTAGGTTAAAGCAGTTGTTAGCTAACGTTATGTTACAGCTGCTTGGAAACATCGTCTTATATGTCTTGTATGATTGTGCGTCTTGTATGCCGGAAAATATGGTCATTTCCAAGGAATCTCTAAAATGCTGTGCAATACATGCAGCTTGCATGCTACATATGGGAATCCCATTTTTTCAAATCAAAACCCTGGGACACTTCATAGAATTTACCTGGAAGGCGCCTCGTTTATAAAAAAAAAAAAAATGCAATTTGTGATTACAATATCGAGATACTCAGATTAAAAAAAATTTCCATAAAGCATTCAATGGGACACTGAGACAGAGCTTTGAAAAAAAAAATCAGTACAATGGGATCCCAAAGTATGTAGCTTAATGTGAGTCCATATAGTATAGCAGCTCATAGTTTGAAATATGACTTGTCTATGTTGATTTTGA